AGCTTGGTTGTTTCCTTGCAGATGTTTCGTTTTCTTGCAGACATTTCTTGCAGATGTTTTGTTACCCATCTAGGTAACATCATCAGTCCTAGCACTGAAGATGTTACCTTGATGGGTAATGAAACATCTGCAAGAAAACAAGCAAGCTCAGAGAACCCCGAGGACTCCACAGTTCAACCTGAGCTACATATATTCTCTTCTACTGGTATGTTATTTCCTATTCAAGCTCCTTCTGATATGAGGGTTTCTGTGAACTGAATCATTTGAGCCAGCACCATGTATTTATTTCCATTTCAGAAATGAAATTAAGTAAATTAATCCTCTTGTTTGCAGAGTACTATAGTTTACAAAAAGAAGACCAAAATAGTGGTGCTGTGACAATGAAGATATGAAATACTGTGGGAAAAAATGCATAGAATAATGTCTATCCCAATAATCACCTTAAAATTAAAATCCTAAAGGAAAAATATACAATTTGATCAGTTGTAGAACAGCCACTGACAAAACCTGGAGCAAAGATAGTACAGGAAAGATATGCTCAGCTAATTTTAAAGACTGAGATGAATAATAAGGAAAAGGGTAGTGTCTAAAGTGACAATATCCATATAGTTTAAGACTTTGTAACACAAGAGGGCACTGTAGATTTTGGAGCACTGATACATTACCAGTATCAGATAGCAGACCAGCATGTTCTCTACAGGTGAAGCTCTCAAGAATTCTAGCAAACCAGCTAAAGTGAACCATACTAGATTTTTGAATTAGTAAAGGATGTTGCTTGGACTGTATCAGATAAGGATTAGACAGCTATTTTATTAGATCATACTGGGAAAAGGTACTTGCAGGAACATGCAATCTAGCCTCTCAACAATCAAAGGCTAATTTAGACAACATATCAAACCATATGTTTTGCTAATATATTTAAGAAGTCACATTATGGCTGAACTTCTGCTCTACAAAAGACATAATCATGCTTTAGAACTGTTTACTTGATTTTGTTTTCCATTTATTTATCACTCTGCTTCAAAAGTACTTAATACATTTCTGGAGTATAAAATTTTTTGAATGGGAGCAGTATCAGTGGTTGTAAGTACTTATTTTCCAAGCTTTTGTTAGCAATCTCTTGTAACCTAGTTTGTAAACTGCCAGATTAGGACATAATTTCAGGCTTATATTATGGAATTACAAATCATGACTTGATGTTATCTCATGAAAACCATTTTAAGTTTCTTTACATCCCAGTGATCCCCAGGACCCTGCAACAATAATTAAGATTTTAAAGGCATAAATGCCAATGACCCCCAGGTTGTTCCAATGTTGATTTAATCATGTACCTACTGAAACTCAACACTGTTTCACTATTTAAGTATTAATCATAGTTATCCTGGTACTACTCCATAAATGTGTACAGTGTTAATATAGATACAGTCAGATCCAGAAATATTGGGACATCAACACAATTCTAACAACTTTGGCTCTATACACCACCAAT